ATTAACCATTAACAAATGGTCGAATGATTTTGGTCCTCTGATATGATTGAGTAAAATTCTTAGGTAAAATCTCTCCCCTTCTGATAGCGAAACTGTGTAAATTCTACCAATTACTCTTTGACGATTCAATCTCAACTGCCAAATCTTTGTGTTATTGCACCATCTATAGTGTTGAGGGATCTCTCGATATAAGTACCAATTTGCAGTTTCGTCATCAACATTTAATTGAAAGAATTGGGTAAGCATTGTTCTGGAATAATACTCATCTCCTAAAACATTTGTGATGTCTTGGAACGTATAAAACCGCACTTGCTGCTTATTTGGTAAGTGTATTTGGAGGCGTTCTACGCTAGGGGTCATTCTGGTCATTGGAAATTTGAATATTTTCCACAATGCTTCTGGAGCACAAACCCATCTTCCATCTATGAACTGTTGTACTTCGTCATAATTAGGACCTTGACGAACTTCTAGTGCAACACGATCAGGCCCTTTATAAACATATTTGTATAAATACTTCACACTTGTAACACTACTGCAAATTTCAAGATTGATATGACAATCATATTCCAAGAGCAACCATGGGTTGTATGGAATGACCCAACTATTATCCACCAAGATACTTGGATTACTCTCTAATGGAACTGACTCCCCTTCTCTTCTTCGATAAACAGGGTATGAATCGTTTCCAAGTGTAGTAATTGGAGAAAATGGCTTTGGGAAACGTCTTTTGCACTGACCATTTGTCATACATGGTGATTGTTCATTGTACATTCCACATGGGCCATGTATCATGTGTTTCAGAACTGCACTGTATAATCTAGGCTCTAATCTCTTGTCTGGAATTTCATCTATGACAATGTTATCATAATCGTCAGGAGTGCGTAACTTATCATTTTCATCCAAAATAATGACCATGTGGGCATGTGGTAAGCCTCTTTTTTGATACTCAATAACATATGTATATGCTAGAACCTTCCCGAGTACATTTTTTGTAAGAATGTCGGTCTTCATCTCATCAAATTTTGAATAAAATACTCTTGTCAGCAAATCAGGGCGATCATGTGGTGACTGTCTAGGTAGTAACTCAGCTTTAATTTCAGGCCAATTTGGATTGCAAGTCATTGTAAGGAAAAGATCAGGTTTTCCATACTTTTGGACCAGAGCCATTGCATCTTGATATCGTTGATACATGTCTCGTGGGCTACCAACAAATGACGACGGTAATATTGTTCTACGACCGACATTACCTGCTCCAAATTTGGATTTCACAAAAAAAAAATTATATGTATGAATATAAACAAACGTGAATACATGTAGTTGTAGTGACAATTTGTACCTCCATAATTTTCACCAGCATGTACTGCATCTAGAAGACCTTGATAAAAATCTACTCGAATGTGATTCTGATGAGTACGTATCCATCTTAATTTGTTGGACTCAATCTTCACGTAATTATTTACAACATACTGTTGTAAGAGGCGACCTCCTCGAAGGAAAAGAGATTGGTCACCAGGGCGAATCTGAATTGATAGTATTTGAATAATTATAAATAACTATAGATTAAATAACTTCGACGAAGTAATTTTTTGATATTATGTGTACGTTGTACTTGTAGCATATAAGAATAGAAATCACAGCATGTTACTTTTCTACCATCATTACTTCTGCTATTTGCATCCCATCCATATGAACCATAGGGTAACAACAGAGGATACTGTAATGGATCATAGTATCCGACAATATCAGAAATATTTAG